GCTCCACTGAGCAATATGTTTTACACACGAATTTGCTGATTAATTAGTTTTAATATCCTATGAAGAAAATTAGCACCTGAGGCCACTAATTTCAGCCGGTCATTTTAGATTGAGCATTACTGAGTCACTCTGGCTCCTGTAGAGCTCCATGTAATAAATCAATTTAGATCTTACTGAGCTGAAAATTGTTCCATATGAGATCAATTACGTTGTCATGTTTTGTACATCCAATCGCATGCAGTGACTTGGGCCTCTGGTGGTTGAGCTTGGTTTCCGCCTTGCGCCTCTCCCCCTATTGTCCAAGCTTGGCTGAGTTCCCAAAGTTATTAGGATAATGTGCGGGAGTGTTTCATGGCAGTCAAGGAAACATCTTCCGTGCTGCTTTACGAATGAAATATGAGGGAAACAGCGGCTGACCAAAGGAAGAGTGTGCTGGCCAACTGTGGAAACAAGGATGGTTCAGCTGTGTTGGATGAACAAATCCCTGGAGGAGACTTTCTGCTTGAGCAGACCCAACACTGCACCGTGAACCCTGAACCAAAACATGAGAAATGATGATCTCAGAGCAGTCTATCGTAGCTGGACAATATTGGTGCAAAAATATGGACCTACAGAGTATTATCTACATTATTCAGTGAAGAATAGTTCCATAGCAACAATGCAAAGTCAGCTGATTGAATGATTATTTCAGAGAAGTCAACAAAACAACGACTGTTTCCACACCAGAAGTTTCCACACTGGAGGAAAACGTTAGAAAAATTAAAATGTAAAGCATTGCATGTGCAAAGTGACAGTGGGACTCACCATCACTTTGGCCAAAAGCAAATGAATGAATTGAAAAAGTTGAGTTACGTTTTATCAAGTTTAATCAGCTCGACACATGATGAAAATATGGTGTTGGGACCTTAATCAAAACTCCTATCAAGGCCAGAGACTGTAAAAGGTACAGAAAGCCCCACCTTTCCCTGAGACTACAAAACAGCTTACCTTTAATATCCCTTTACTTCACAACATCTGACTCCTCTAGAGCTCAACTTGTAATTGAACTGCTTGTCTGGAGCTAAGCTAGCACCTTAACCAAGGTGATGCTACCAAGGCTCTCTACCATAGACTGTAAATACTACGGACAACTTGGTTCCACCTTCCACCAGTATACGGATTTGAAGCCGAAAAGCTCTCAGTAATACCGTGTTTTTTCTCCACTTTCTAAAACCAACATTGTGCAGTAGCATTGTATGCATTCAACGGGAGATTCGCTGAGAGTTGATGTGATGACGCTCGGCTCAAACAGCGTATCCCCCGGGTGAGCTACGCAATCTTCGTACGCCCACAGGCTGTATCAAGTGTCAATCATAGAAAACATGAACCCACCAATAACTTTTAAAAATGAAACTGTACAGAAAAGAGAAGACTTGAGCACCAACCAGTCTGTTACGGCCTCCCTACAAACACAGAAATCAAGGCTAAAGTAACTACATGTCAACATCACAAGCAGGGGGGAAAAACTATGTTCTGTGTATTCAATTTCTAAAGTTTGTCCACAGCTCCATAGGGATGGCTGGCAGGATCTAAGACCTATACTGCGACCCACCACCAGATGGTGCTGTATTCGGGGTGGCTTCACCCAGTGAGGAGGCAGACGGCATCCATTTTATATACAATTCATGATTTCTACCAGTGGCGATTGCTCTAAGACTGCAAGGGAAGCTCGGCTTCCCTTAAAATGTCACCCCCCCAAAAAAAGAAAAAGTGGTGAAATACATACGGCTGTGTGTACATTTCATTAACTAAATACGCACTAGAAAGCCTTCAACTTTTGTTCAGACACTGTGATAAGAAGCTGATAATCACAGGTAACCGGCATAACTTCGTTCTCATTCATCCTCGCAGCGCCTCAGCGCTTCAAACAGTCGGACGCTGGGCTTCTGCTGACTTCAATGTGGAAGTTCAAAGTGGGTTGTTCCAGCAGCGAAACTAGACGCTCATTGGATAAATGCTGGGCTTTGTCCCGCCCAATGGAAGCCCAGCTTCACTGGAGTTCTATGGCGAGAGGGCGGTCCCAACTTTCTCCCGGACTCCAAGCTTCTGCATCCATGATTGGATGAGCTGTCTGAGGCGAAATCCTTTTTTGATTGACAGCTAAACAAGCGAATCAGCGATCTTGAAGAATAAAACATCTACCAGAGCATTTTCCAAGTTATTCATTCCGTTGTTCTTAACTGCTCCAGAGACTTTACCGATCCTCAGCGACTTTTGTCTTTGTTAAAAACGACTGCCGTTGTGTTTGGCGACTCTGTTCTGTTACATACTAATAAACAAATACAATTATGATGTAGGCCAGAAAAATGAGCTTCCCCTCCTTGAAAGACCAGCAGCCGCCACTGCTTTCTACGTAGGGCTTGTTTAGCATGCTAACCTGGTGGTTGCTGCATTTAGCCCACCAGAAAAGTACCTGTTCAGCTTTGTCAACATGTTGCCTTTCACATTCTGTTTTCCAAGCTAACCCATAAAGTGAAATGACACCTGGAAAGAAGCACTGCTCTGGCAGGTCCAGCAAAGCCAACAAAGCTGGGAAGGCAAAGTACCATTTGTGCCCTCACGCTACTCTCAGACAGAAGGATACCCTCGACACCTGTCCAGTGTGTGTCTTGGCATGTTTCTTGCTAAAGCGGTACTTTCTAACCTGGAGAACTGTGTGCACTGTGACATATAGTTTTCTTGAGAGGTCCTTCTAGCTCCTATGTTGCTGCAGAATGCTTTACAGAAACTGTTCTTTAAATCTCAGACTGTACCATAATTCTCAGGACACTTTTGAAGCCATGTACAAAAGGACTCTTGAAATCAGGGACAGACATCCCAAGATGTTTCCTCTCCAGAGATGCAAGTAGTTTTTCTTTCTCAAAGTTGAGTGGTTTTGTCAATGTATTACCATCACTTTATTCTTTTGCAGTGGACACATTGCCTCCTCTGTATACTTTCATGCTCCACAAAACACCATTGAACTCCTGACACACCTTGCCAGAGTGGGAAAGAGAAGGGTCCAATCCATCCACCTCCATTTAAATGCTTTCAAGGTGAAAAAGGCCCCATTCAGCCTTTGGAAGTGGAGGATGTACTTTATAGGACGCAAGTGAGATATCTCTCTAGCGACATACCCATAGAGGAGGAAGAAAAAGCTTGTGTTTAATCAGGCGCAAGGACATTTACACCATTTGTTTTTCCTCTGAACGAGCACAGGAAAAAATAGAAAAACATGGAGGAAAATGTTGAAAGCAATATGAAGGAGAAAAGGGAAGCACTGTGTGCTTAACATTTTCAAAAATAGAAGATAATAGACTTCTCCCATGCATGTAAACATTGCATTTCCATAGAAATGGCCTCTCTCCGAGTCTCAAACAGGTAGTCATGGGTGAGGGAGTTATGTAGCGTTCACCTCTTAATAGTGTTAGATGTTTATAAAATGGATCTGTGGTTTTAAAAAGAAATAGAAAAATGTGAGGGGAGAAAGTGTCAGAAATGAGCCAGTGCTGGAAATCTGAATTATTTTTCAAACAGCAGGCCACTCTCCATCTATCAAATGCAACTTATTTTTACATCATTGTTCAGTTAGTAGGTCAGACAGGCTACTGGATTGATGTCATGTGGATTATTTATTTTTTCCCTTGCTGAAAACTTTTTTTTTTCCCCCTAAGAACACATTCATTTATCCATAGGAAAGTTTAAGTTTGCATATCCAGAAGATTAAATATTATAACTATTTATTTATAAGACTGAAAGGTCAACAGTCATTCATATGTAATTTTCTCATCTCTTTAAACAACCTTCTAGGATTGTGTCATCCCCAATTTTGCCACAAACAAGAAGACACTGTCATTGTGTACTATCAACAGATTAAAAAAAAATATTTATTTTTATAGCTGAGAACTTGCGTATAATTTATTGAAACTGATTTTAGAGTCAGAAAGATGAAAAAAGTGATCCATGATGCTCAAAAGCTTGTCCTACTTTTTTGAAGAGGAACCATATGGACAAAACTTCAATGGAAAATTAATTGAAATGAATCTAGGACATGTATTCTGACATTTTGAAAATGAAATGACATTTCTGGATCAGAAAAAAAAAAAAACACTTTGATGTTTTTAGCACATGGAGCTAACTTAGAACATTTCAGTCACACAGCAGTGTTATGTCTTTCTACTTTTTTTGTTGACAAGTTGGGAAGGATAAGAATCACGTTTTTGATGTGAAAAATTACCAGCATGCAACTTCTTACATTAGACAAAATTTAGGTGATTTAGACAAAAATAGAAAATGGTGACAAATTTGAAGTTTGAAGTTTGTTATTTTCTGAATCTAAAAATTGAAGGCAAAATTCTCCCATTAATTTCATCCTTAAAAAAAAGACAGAAACATTATTAACACATAAATGAAAGCTCTTTGGTTATAAGCTTAAAAGTTATGCCTTTCATATCTCAATTATTAGCACTCAAAGCTCCAGTGAGAAACTTTCAGTTTGATTAAACTTTGGCGCCCCTTGTGGACAAAGCACTCTCTACTTACCTTGCCCTCTTCATGCTTAAATAGTGTCATGTGACATTCTCCTGCTGTCCTTTGACAGTCAAATGTGTCATTTTTGTGAATATTTGATCTAAGAACTGTAAACAGGGAGCTGTTTCTTATGGAGCTCCTCTTAGTTTCTGAACACCACCATCAGTTGCTATTTTAATTTGCAGTCAGTCACACATTTAACACACTTTGTTTAGTTTTAGTTCATTTTGTGTATTTGATCTTGCACTGTTTAAATTAGACAAACACATTATCACACTGCAAGACTTGGCTCACAATTCTGTTATACTCATCCTTGTTTCTTTAGTCTTTGAGTTACCTTGCTGAGAGGAGATGGCACTTCCTGGTCTGGCAAAAGGTGTGGCCAAGGTTGGACAAGACTCTTACACTGTAGGCTGTGTATTGGAGCAGACCATGTGCCGTGATGTCAAGGGGGGATTGAGGTTTAGTTTGCTTTGTTAAGAGTTTAGTTTAAGTCATTGTCCATTTTGTTCTTCCTTTCTAATGTTAACTTACCCCTCTTTTGGTTCCCCTTTGTCTCATTGCGTTGGGTCTGTTTTAATTCATTTATATTTTCTCCTAGACTTATTTCTAATAGCTTTGTTGACTAATGTCTAGTAATATATTCTACATTGATTTCACTACTCTTACTTACTCATTTGTAAAGAGTACAACGCCTGCTAATGCTGCAAGCTTAGTTGTCCCTTTTTTTTTTTTTCTTTTTTTGAAGACTTTAATCTTATTTCAAGAAACTTATTTACCTATTAAAAGCAATTAGTGTAAGTGCAGTAATCAGGTATGGCAATAAATATCTCTACACCCATGCACTTTGAATCCACTCATATTTTTTAGAAGCTTTTGCATGGTGTATTTGCATTTCCGTAGGTGTTAAAAACATAAATATTAGACTGCTAACAGGCTTAGTGTAGCACCTCTGTATTTGAAGACCCTGCTCCCTCCTGGATAAATGCCGTGCTGCTCCATTAAGGGGTCCTCTGATCCAAACAGAGGAGTTCAGGTGTGTCAGGAAGTAGGAGTATGAGGGGCAGCGAGTTTGTCTGCAGATTTAGTGCATCACTTCCTACTCTGTGTTTTTCTGGTCAGTCTTCCATGTTTCCCTGACCCACAGTCATGAGGTTTCTGGGTAGTGACCGAAAGAGCGAGATGGTGAATACAAGGAACAGAGAGTGTAGGCCTCTCTTTGCGTGACAGGGTGAGGGATTTAGTGATCCAAAAGGACCTTGTAATGTTTGCTGCTCCTTCACTTTGGCAGGAACTGCTATGGAAGTTCAGGCTGCACCCGAGGGCACTGCCATATGGAAAGGTAGAGAAAATGATTTTTTTTCTCCTCATACAAAAAGAAAGTCTTTCGTTTTTCCTTGTTCTTACTCCCTCTGATTTAAAACCCTTGTGAGGAGGTTTGGGCTGGCTGTGAAACGGATTGAAATCAACAGCGATGCCTTTTTATGCCTTACAAAAGTAAACAACCATCAGCTTCAAGATTGACTATCTCTAAATAGTTATTTCTAATTCCTGACCAGAGGATTGGAAGCACACTGAAGAAACTCTTTCCTCACAACTCATAATGAGTGTTATTGACTGTATAAGAAAACAGCAGTTCATTACAGAAGCTTCAAGTCCATCATTTTGAAGAATATGTCTCTTTAATCAGAGACAAATGATAGTGAAAGTTACATTTCATAGATTGTAAACCATCAATTATATTTTGTACAATTGCCCTTAGTTTGTGGTAAAACATCTTAAATTGACTAAAGTTCCTTGGTTGTCACCTTCAGCTGATTTGAAAACTTCTGTCAAAATACGACACCTTGAAAAAAGTGAAGAAAAGACAAAGCCCTTTCATCAAACTGTGAACACACAAAGGTTTCTGCTAAGTTTATGGCCTTTTATCACACAAAGGTTTGACAGAGAGGCACATGCAACAAAAGGCTCTGATTATGTTTATTTAACTCATTTGCCATGGTATTCAGAGGTTGTTTGAATTTCCTCAATATGAATTGAGGGGAAAAGGTATGTTTAAAAAAGATAAAATAAGAACAAATATAAAGTACAAGTGTGTTTAATTAATGGAACAACTGTGAAAATGATTTGAAAGTGTGCGGTTTACTCATTTAAAAATATGTTTGAAACCAAAATACTAAAAATATTAGACAGGTCTGGACAAAAGTGTTTGTAAAAATACTGAAACTTTTGGCTGTGTTAACTTGGATTGTTCTCATGAAATTGTACAAGGTTTGTTGGGCTGTTTTAAAGTATGTTCTGTCTGTTTTAAAGCCCTGGAGGCTGCCTCGCTTAAGTCGGTGTTTGTTTGTTGTTGTTTTTTTTCCCATGAAAAGATGTAGGATAAAATAAGCTGTAGCTTCAGCCTATACACTTTTTCGATTTGCTTCACTTCTTCCTCTCTTTTATGATGTGAATTCTATTTGTTAAATAAAAAGCAAATCTAATGAATGTAAAATAAAATGGACCGAAAAGAAAAAGTATTTCTGTTTTTTTTTCTACTTTTAATAGGATCTGTAATCATCACAGTACAACAAAGAAAGCCCTGGCATAACACAGTCCCTCTAAGTTGCCATATTACAATTCATCAGCCTAAACTAAACACTTCCTTTTTTTTTTTGGCTATCCTGACATATGGCCAATCTTGTTAAGTTGCCAAAAAATCAAATAAAAATAGGTGCTAAATGTAAGCTACTTTTCATTTCATTGACCATTTGAGGGGCTAGCTTATTATGGTGGTGGTAGCTACCTCAAATGTGATGCTGTTTCTTCTGACTCCAGCTAGACGGTTTTCTGAAACCATACAATAATTCATACATCAATTGTCAAATATTTTGAAAACCATTGCAGTTGATAGCCAACTATACCTCTTTTCATGCCATTGCATTAGTGTTTTTACAAGCTTTTTTGTTATTTTATTCTACAGAAAAATGCAACGTTCACCATCTGATGTGTGGAAGCATTTTACACAAGCTAATGTTGAAGGAAAAATATTTACATTTATGTTAGGATATGATACAGCTTGTTCAAATTACCCACAATTTCCAGTTAATTCCCATAAATTCCCATACCTCTCAGGGGAAGTTTACCATTTGGTATATTTTCAAAATTCCCAGGCTTAACTTCACATAGAAAGTTTCTGGAAATGTACTGGTAATTTACCAGAAATTTTCCACTCTTTTGCAACCCTAATCTAAGAGCACCTGGAGCATCACCACCACCAAAGGTGATCTTCCTGCTGGTGAGGTCCGGTCCAGAACCCAAGCAAGACGGAGGCCCCAGTTCTCCGAAGCCGGGCCCGATGATCAGGTGGACTGGCCCTGGTGGCTAGCATGGGTCCTGTCCTTCAGCCTTTCCTGAGGCCCCGGCTCTCCCTAGCCAGGCCCAAATAGTAGTATCAATATTAAACTTTTCAATTTGGCCACCAGACCTTTTTCCACATCATGGAATTAACTTCTTTGCCATTCAAAAGAAGGATCACCCCAGGGTTGAAAATGTTTATGGCTGTGCCGTTCTAACAAGAGCTGCAGTCTGAAGGTTTCTCTTTCATGAGTCTGGAGACCTAATACAGTTGATTCATGACGAGTACAATGTTTACTGTTATTGTTTAATCTTGTCGAAAACTGTTAATTGTTCATCTAGCCACTTCCTGGTGCCTTGTGTAAAGTCTATTGACCAAACAGTGGCATTGCTCCTGACTTTTCACAAACCAGAGGCTCGGTGACCAAACTGCTCTTAAATAAAAAGTGTTTTCAGGGTGAAGAGTTCATCTATTTGGAAACTAAATCAGCCCAAATGTGACAAAAAAATCTGTTGATTTTTCTTTCCCCTGCAAATAGTATCACAGTGTTCTAATGCAGTGTGGAAGGCAGTTTACTTCAGTTTCATTCAAGAAATTTTCATTTTTCTTTTTTTTTCCCTTGGCATCTTGACATGGAAATTGACTGAAAGTGATGACAGAAGACAAACAGCTTTCCCAGTCAACAGATGGCTTTTTGAGTGTTTGTCCATTCACCCACAATTGATGCCTCAAGTGTCACACAAATGAAACTTCACAACAGAGTCACTGGCATTGCTGCTTTAGAAAATTACTGCAAAATCCTTTAGCAATTTTCACAGGAAAAATCTTGAAAGCCATGGAGGAACTGATTACTGAAACTGCAGTTTGGGGTCAATCTGAACCTTAATGATGACATAGGCATAAAAAGTTATGGAACTGAGCTTATAGTGTTGCATTCCAGCTACCTCGGAAGTTGAATGTCAGAGCTGGGAATGATGTTACACCCGAGTTGATGGTGTCCGACTACAGTTACCCGTTGTTAGCTGTTGTTTACAATTGTCAGCTGTCGTTAGCTGTTGTTGGTTGTTGTTAGCTATACCAGTTGTAAACATATAACACAGTATTTTACTCGTACAAACACCGTAGCACCGTGTTCACAGTTAGACATTGGGCAGTACAACATATACCACTTATTTAATATCACAAAAACAAAAACGAAGTGCTAATAAATAATACATTGCGAGAGCTTTCACTGTTACTCTTTACTGTTGATGCACAGAGCTGCTATCTTGGATTATGATGTTGTCGTCAAGTCGGGGTTGGTGAGGATCATACGACTTTCCGAGTTGGAAATCTGACTTCAGGGGGGCGTTCCAAATGAATTTCCGACTTGGAGCTCGGAAATTCCAACTTCTGAGTACAACTGGAATGCAGCATAAGTGACACACTTTGTGTAAAAGATACAAAAGAAAACATTTCGTAACTCTTTGTTAAAGACTTTTGAGCAGTTTTGCGATCTCAGCATAAAATGGCAGCAAAACTGAGGCATTAACTCACAAGAACCCTACAACACTGCATCTACACCTTACATCACTCCATCACTTGCATCCCTGCAACATTAAAGAGTCATTTCTGATCTCACCATCAGTCTCAAAAGAGTGACTGAGTTCTTACCGAGCTGCTGATGATATATGACTCACCATGCTAAAGTAGCTGCACCACTGTTTCATATATATGATTCATATCCCAACAGGCCCAACAGAACAATTCAGCTGCCGGAAATTGGTTGAAGAATACAAAGCAGCATTGGTACATTATTCCATCTTTATATTTTTTTTTCAAGAATGTTTGAAGAATAAGTTTTCTGTATAAAATAAGTAACAGAAAAGGTGATGAAAACCATAGCTTAAAAGGATTCAAGTTATTCAAAATATGCAGCCCTGATGTGTTGAGCAATGGTGGCACAAAGAAACATAGAAGAAGTTGCAATCTTCATATTATGCTGTTTGCAACCTCACTGGACCAAAGGCGGTTGAGGACAAACAACTTCACTATACAGACTTTCAACACCTACATCACATCTAAATTTGTATTTAATCATTATTTCTTTAGTGAGTTGAGAATAAATCCACAGAGGGTGTTTAACAGTCTACAAAAAGCACCATTTTATTGCAATGAGGCCACTCCACGATGTGACAGCATGGCAGGAAATTTCTCTTAACTAGATGTTTCAGAAGCTAACCTCCAAATTGAAGAAATGGAAAAACGTAACAAACCAGGCGGCAGTGCTGTAGTACTCGAGTTGTACTCGAAGTCTGATATTCAGGACTTGTGACTCAATTCAGCATTGAACACTGGTGATTTTGACTTTGACTGCACTGACCCCAGAAGGTGGAGAGCAAAACTCAAGCTTGTTAGTCTTTTTTACTTTAAAGGGGTGCTCACACCAAATGCAAGTAAAATCATCGTGTATCTAGATGCGTGAATAAATAGTATTAACTCACTTCATTTGCGCGTCCACGGTAATTTCAATGGTAAGCCCTGCCAATTCAACCGGCTGAATCAAGTGATGGATAAAGGTTTTTTACAACTCACCAGGTAATCCGACCTCCTCACTTGCCTCCAGGTGAGCTCCTTTTTATTCCAGTTTCAGTAATTGAAAGAAAAGGTATCATATAATTCGAGGCACCAACACACTGACACAATCAGTTTGTCGTCCATTTTAGATACCAGTGAACAACCGTCCATTTTCATACGTCATCCTGCAACCTTTGTGCTGATTAGTTATCACGATGCAAATATCTGCTTAAGTTGAGACATTTTCAGCTCCTGCCCAATTTGTATCAATCGTGCCGCCAGAGTAGTAGGAGTGCCTAATCACGTCTTTGCATTGATTTAACATGTAATTCATTTGCGTGAATGATTTTACTCGCTCTTGGTGTGTGGAGACAGTAAGACGCCAATAATTTATTCGGTTTTAAACTCTACCTGACCTTATGGAGACTCAGTTTGGGCTTAATAAGTTCTTCTTTGGTGACTCAGACTTAATTCAGGCTTTAAAACTGAGCACTGTATTCTCAACTTGAGATTTGAGGACTCAGCTACAACACCAATCAATGTTTTCTGTTTGCAAAAATGCAGGTTTGCATGCATGCACAGCACAAAAAGCACAACAGATAAAACCACTTCAGAGCATTACATTTCCTCTAACCCACCTTCATCTTCTCCAGTATAGACATGTGTGCATGCACACCTGAAGACCTTAGAAGATGATGAAGTCCCTAGCCTCAGTCTATCCTGATGCATGTTCTTTGAAGTGTAATTCTCTGTAATGTAAAATGCATGAAAGAGTTTGTTGATTGAAATGTTTTGTGAGAATCCTGATAGAGAGGGACAATGAAATATAAATGAACTCCAGATAAAGTCTCATCATAGTGTAAACCCTTCCCATATTATGAAATCTGAAGATGAGAATGATCTGCTGATACACAGTATATGTTCTGAAATAGTTTGAAAGTCGCTCTTTTTCTTTTCATTTAGGTGGTTAAATAGGGTAGAAATGGCATTTGATCCAAATACTGTATCATGGATGCATTTTTTTTCTATAAAAGGGAGTCAAAAGTTCAGCTTTTGTTTGAAAATCCTTCCAGAGTTACAAACGCAATATTATGATGCATAAACTTTCTCTCCGCCATGAAACTGTATTCATTATTGCAGATCCTTGACTCCTACTACGCTGCATAAAACCAGGCTTGAAATGTTATATTTAAAAGTTAACCTGCTGATCCTGCTCAATGCAAAATACATGCGGGCGGAAAGACTCCCATTTTAACTAAAAATGAAGGAAAAGCATGCGTCTCTTTCTTCTCTCTGGGAGGGCAGAGCCACAGTCAGTAGAATCATCATCCATTTTTATCACAGTACTATCAGGATAATAAAAACAGGCTTTTTAATGCTCACTTGAAAGGCTGCAGTTTTCATCTTAGCTTGTTTTAGAAACACAATCACACAAGTTTCCAAAACAAAAAAGGTAGCAAATTCAGTTACTGACTAAAAAAGTTTAACCCTGATTAATCATGTCCACATTCAGACTAATTTTACCCAATTGTCTTGTGTGGAGGAATCTGTTACGGAGCCAGACCAGGGAGGCTGTGATAAAGCTGGAGGGTTCTTTTACACAGGTCTGCAAGCTTCATTAAAAAGATCAATGTCCAAGGAAAAGCTCATTATTTGTTGCTGAATCAGGTAATAAACTTAGATTGACCGATGAGTTTTAAGAAAGGGTACTTGTTAGGTGGTTTGACATTTAGCAGGACAGCAGGCTTTTCTTGCCTCTGTTGTTATGAGAAACTGAACCAGGAATCTAGCTTCTCAAGGTTACTTAATGCTATAACTTCATTTGTCAGCTCTAATAGAAGACATATAATTATGTCCCCAGGTTACACTGCAGTAACTCAGCCAAACTATAACACTCCAACCATCTCAGGAAACATGATGTGAATAGCAGAGGTGCTTTCTGCAGCTGGCCTTGTGATAGGGAACACTGTCATCTATTGTTAAAGTCATATGCCATTCCTGATACCCACCACAGGACTGAACATTGACCAACCAAACCCTGTGATAAATATATGGACACTTAAACCAGGGTGATGGTAATTCTTTGATTGATGTTTTTGTACTGCCTTTGTTCATAAAGATGATACGAATGAACTTCTATTGCTGCATTGTTGACATACACTAGCAGGGAATCGCCTTGCTGATTGGCTATTGTGGCAGATACCTTCGCCATCAATTCATGGGAAAGAAGCGAGTAATGACATTTGCGTAAATGATCAGCTCTTCACTATTCATACTGCCTCATGCACGCCACTAGACTAGAACATGCATTTTAAGGCTCATTTATGCTCAACGTTACTTACAGATCTGGATGGAGTTCTCTGTCCCTGCTTCGCGTTTTTTTTCGTCCAAATTTCTGCATGATCCTTGAAGTTTACGGATACGGGCCAGACGGAGCAGTACCACTGGAAACCGTGGGGGGCAGGGTTGCTGCCGTCACTACCCGATACACATCTCTGGACAGAAACGAAGAAGACCATGGCAGGGCTTTTTGAGGAAAGATTGTGTGAAAAATGGAAGAATTCTCCATCCTCCAACTGCGAGACATTTAGTGGCCTGACTGACCACTGCCAACGCTGCCTCCCTGGTGGATGTAATGGTTAACATCCATGCCAACGTAAAGGATGCATGGATGTATATGGGCAGTGATGGAACCATCGTTTGCAAAGGGCGCGTACATTTTCATATGTATGGCGAGCATAAATGAGCATTTATCGTGTCTTTGCATTGACTTTAAATGTAATAGTCACAGTAGACATTTGTGTTTGAGTAACTTTTCCCACCAATGATGAGCAAGTGCTTTTTTCTGCATGATTTAAACTATTGGTTGCTTTTTAGTTATTCACAGGAGATCTATTATTTAACTGGTGCATTGTGATAACTGAGAATAAAGAATAACATACTGAGATATAAGTGATTCAGGCTCAAGAGGAATACTTGCTCAAAGAACAATGTTTGTTCATGAAAAAGCTCGAATGAAGTATTGAACTGGCCTTTTCACCCCTGCCTCTTGCCCTCTTTACCCACAATCCTCTGCATAGCTTCAATGATTAATGCTTTCCCAGTGTGAACACAAAAGAAGAGGATGTGCATCCAGCTATGTTTGTGTTTTGAGCATGTTTGTGTGTGTTGGAGATGGGCCTCATGAAGATTTATGGTGACAGTTGGTACTATTAAGCTTCAAATGCTACACACAGACATGCGGAACTGAGCCATCTCTTTACGTCTCAAAACACAAACACAACTCCACAGTAGAGATCTGCCTTCAGTTCTGAAAATTGCTTTGTGACCTATAATGCCTGCTGTCTATACATAACCTGGTTTTATAGCGAACTGTCAGCTGTTGTAGAAAAGCTGCGCAAGCAATCTTCCAATTATCCAATCAAAACGTTCCCTGTAGATTGAAACTACCTTTTTCAGCCCCTGAGTATTTTTTATGGACCTGTACGTGTTTCCTTGTTGGCGTTGCTAATCAATTTATACACTGGAGACACCAACAGGTTCGTTTTACACAGTTCTGTGCCAGTCCCGCTCCACGCCTGGAACAGAGGACTCTTGTTTTTAAAGGAGAGCTGATACTTTAGATGAAAGAGTTGAAAAAGGATTTATTTCTCCTTGGTGGATTTATCAACAGAGAAAGTTGAAAGTGCCCACGCCGACCCTGAAAAACTGAAGGCCAGTAAAGTGAGAAAGTTACGTAAAACCTGTCAATGTAGTTTTTCTTATAACATACAACCTTGTGCATTTTATAGCTCAAATGAATTTCCTGAGTGTAAGAATTCGAGGAAACATGGAGTGGAATCCCTCATCATCCCAGGCATGTTTGAGGACACAAAATACAGTACTTGTCTGTGCTATGTAAGAAATTACTTAAGCGTGACATTTCATTTTGAAAGATGCAGATATTATTACAGCTTCATGCAGTTATTCACAGAGCGCACTTAACTGCAGGTCTTGGCGAACTACTGTATGTTGCAACATAGAAGTAAAGGAAACATAGCAACTAGGAAGCCTCTAATTTTATGTAATGAAGTACTAACTTCTGACAAAAATCTAATTTCTCATCTTAATTCTCATTTTGGTATTCAAATGTGTGTTCATATATATGTATATATATATATATATATATATATATACATGGCTTTTTATTCAGCTGTTTGGTTGACACCTCCCCTTCATGCACAGGTTTCGGTGCTTTCACTTCAATTCCTCAGTCTCGTTTCTAATGTTCCTGTTTGCTTTTATAAGGCATCAACGTGGATTTGAGTGTATTTTATAGATATTTCAAAAACTCCTCACAGAAGCTTTGAATATATTAGAAGCTAAAAAAGACAATAATGATAAGATATTTTGACTTATTGATGGGACAAATACACTTTGTAAGATCGACTTTTCTTTGGGCAGAGGAACCTTTTCCTCAGTAGAAGAATTAGGAGACATCCTCTAAAACTTTGCTTCATCCTGCACAGTTAAGATGTAACACAGAGCGGCTACAGAGACTCAATCCAACTATAAGCTGTAACCACTTCACTTCAAAGAGTTGTGGGGTGCCAATCCAAGCTGGATCCAAGCTGACACCTTGCAAGAAGTTAACCCCCGGGCGGCTCACCATGCAGTCGGTCACATATAGAGACAAAGAACTAAACTCTAAACCAGCAACTTCCTCGTACCTTAAAGAACAAAACAAGGGGCAGAGAAAATAAAAAGGAGATGTGTTTTCATTCAAGGTCATCAAATACTTTTGTCATCTCATGGGACATGAAGTCTACCAATGTCCTTAAGCCAGGTATGTTGCGGGAAAATGTCTTAAGATGAAGCTGCATGGGAAATTCTGACAATTCCTTATGTGCAAATGCTAGGGCTGGGTCTGTCTGACCTATTTTTCATGATGGTCAACCTTTTATATGTGCTTCACTTGGTTTGTGTTAATGGCAAGCAGGAATTTTCAAAAATTCAGAGTTAAATAATGCTGTACAGTCATGTTTTCCCTGGATTTAGCTATCCTGGAGTCCACCAGGGGTGTCTGTGCAAGAATTAACCTCAAGCTGACCCTTGAAGATGAGAATGCGGTGCGTGTCTCTGTGAAACTCTCTACACCCATTTTTCTAAGCTTAGTGAGCTGTGTTTGTATTTCACAGAAGTGAGGGAGATGTTATCATCCAACACTCAACTGTAGCTGTTGCTTCACTCGGAAAGGCAAGGAGGTGGTGTTAATGGTATTGGGTGAAAATGTGTGCTAAAAGAAGATAATAACCGCATCCACAAACTGGGCAGCAGTAACTTGCAAGGAGGTCAGAGGTGGGGTGATAAAAACTAGACTGTTACATTAGCCACGTACAAACTGTTGAAAGGGGAGTAAAATGTAAAACTCCTCGTAATGGCAGAACCTATTTCAAGGCAATGAAAAGCAGATAGGTAGATCAGTGTGGTCACTGTTCGCATAAACACACTTTTCTGCCTCTTTTTCCCCCTGTATAAATTTGTTAAGTGTTCGTAACTTGTTAGATATGACCTTTTTCTCTCTTTAAACTAATTAATTAGCCGATCTGAAAACTGTATCAAAGTGTCCAAATCTGTAAGGTGACATATCACTGTTTGGACAAATTAACTTGTGTAAACTCTGATTCCTTGTCTCAGTTAGACAATTTAGTCTAGACTCTCCCACAATGGAATGATGTGCAGTCCTTGAAGGTTTTACTACTATGGAAAGACCAATACACAGATACAAGAGAGGAAAAATAAAAGTTAAAAAAAAAAAAATTCAAACAACTGTGGCATTATTCAACCTGTATTTATTGGACCTCAAATAAAAATGCGATGAACACACGTGTCTGTGATAATTGCGCTTCTATTATCGTCCTTGATCGACCCTGTGATTTTATTGATATTAATTTGCAAAATTAACACCAGGGGGAACTTGTTCATTTATGGCAGTAACACAAGTCTTTATACAATGTGTCCTGTAAAACACACTATAATCAACCCAGAAGGATGGTTCTTGATCTATGTATACTACTGAGTGGCCCAGTTGTGTTGTAGCAGGGGTACATGCAACCCCGTACAAAAGAGACAAACATCATGCTCAAGCTATTTTAAGGGGCAAAATAAGACATATTGTCCTGTTTTCTCTGTGTTTCTGATGAAAACTACAAAGATTACATAATTTAAAGGGATCGATGACACTTCAGTAACCCAAATGGATACTTAAGTTATTGTTACTGGCTATGTTATATTAATGTGTGTTTATTTCACCTCTATTTACATTCACTTGTTAATCAATGGAGCCTGCGTACATCCTTCTGTATCAGGGTGATGGTTCATAAACAGAAACCTTTTCCTCCAAATATTATTACAAATCATACATGAGGACTGTTAGCTCTTAATGCTTACAGTTAAAGAATTAACAATATCCCCAGACCTGAGGTTTTACCTTGTAACAATTAATATTTAAACCGTCTGGGTTTTAAGGTATCCCTCCCCAATTTGTTTATGCCTTGGCTTATTGTGTAATAAGACATATATAATTTCACCAGTCATGTGGATTATTGTAATGTTCAATGTTTATTTCAGGATAACCTGGGGAATAAGAATATCTTTCTCCTAATGTTGTCAGAGGAAGTTCTTTTAATTGTTATGATAATAAATACAGAAGAAAAATGAAAGCAAAAGTTTAATGTTATGGAGGTATAAACCACAAGAACTAAGATGTGTGGCCTTCGAAATAAGATCCTGATCAAGAAGAAGTGAAACAAACACTGCAGATACTAGCATTCAAACATCGCCACAGGTGTTGTTGTATTTTTCCCCCTGAAATGTTAGTTTTAGTCACAGACACTCATTTCTCTATGAAATGACTGTCTGTATCCATTTGTGCAAAGTCAGCTGTGCCATTCCTCAAAGCAGCGTCTGTCTGCAATGATGCAGAAAGAGCACAGATTTACTGATACTATCTCAAGCTGCATATGAGGAATTAATGTAAAACAGTTCTATCTTTTCCTTTTCTGTGCTGTAAGCTAACCTGGACTACGAAACTGCACTACACGGGACCTATACAGGTCATTTGCTTCGCATTTTCCACCTCTGATTGGCTAACGGACCAAAAGAAAATACCAGCTCATGTCTTGCACAGTCAGGTAACAAGAAAATTTCCCAGTTTGTTCAAATTCATACATAAATTATCATGTATCACCATTTTTTTAGGGACAGGATCCAGGCGGTCTCTCAAAATACACTAATCTTCTCTGTGGGATA